AATTGTTTCCAATATAATCTTAAACATGTTGAAAATACTAAAAGAAAATAAATAACAGATGCTCGAATTTCTTAGGTAAACGAAAAACATTGAAAAAGCTTTTAAAAATGTTCAATAATAATTTCAAAGAGAATTACGTTTAATTGTGAAAATCTATATTGAAATCGTATAAACAGATTTTAAGAAAATATACAGAAATTATGTTTGAAATGTCTGCGTATGAAATATTTACAAATTGTGGAACAAAAAAATATAATTTCGAAAATCATGGCATAAATAATGTGCCAGAATTTAAATGGTTTGCGCAACAGACATGAATGGATTCATTATCAATACTAATGAGTCGGATACAGATACATGTATGTATGCATACATACATATATATTTATAGCATATACTAATGGAACTTTATAGATCAGTTGCTGTAGCCATAGATGTTTATTTTATGCGAATGCCAATCATTATTATTCACGTTTTTTATTCACATCAATTGGCATTCGATTTCTTTTGTCGTTTCATATCTTTTTTTTGTTCATGTTTTTCTTATCGTTAAATTTGACTTTTCACTGCTGTGATTTTCCACGGCGCTATGAAATTTAACTGTGCTGAATTTTTAGCATTTTCAGGGGTTTGTCGCTGTTGTTGTTGTTGTTGCCGCGTTGCCACGGGTCGTTAGCCTCGGGCGGCACAGAAGAAAAATTCACTTGAACAGCAGCAAAAGCCGCAAATAATTCAAAATGTCAGCCGCAGCAGCAAAAGAAGAAAAATGTCAAGGAATTTTCAGTTGTAAGAAGCAGATCAACTCAACTCGACTCAACTCAACTCGACTCGACTTGACTGGAATTATGTAATGCTCGAATATAAATGAATTGGTTTTTGTGGCTCGGTTTTGTTTATAATTTGTTTATCTAAATTGAATTGTTTATCTAAGCAGCCGCATGTAAACATTAGCCCAAATTGTATTCCTTGCTTTATTTTTTTATGCGTTCCCAATGAAAATCGATTAATGTGCGAATGGGCAACGCGTTCGTTTTGATTTATGGCTTTAGGAAGCACTGGCCAACACACACAGACACGCACGCACACAGACAAAAATTTGCGCATAAAGGGCAATAATGCACAATAGACAAAACATCCATCGATTGTTAAGTAAACAATTCACTGTTTGTTTTAGCTGCATAAAAGTTGTTGTTCAATTTTCGCTTTCATTTTGTTAGCAATTTTATTGATGTTGTTTTGTTGTTCCATCCAGTGCTGCTCGGTTGATCTTGTGGTCGATTTATGTAGTGCACGTTCGCTGAATCTGCTGCTTTGTATACATATTGATTTGGCCATAAATTTACTTAGCGGCTTAACTTTCGTCTTCGTTTTTTTTTTTTTTTTTTTTTTTTTGTATTACTCTTTTATTGATTTTTTGTTGCGAAATTTGCCTAACCTAATGAGCCGAAGCGCTGAGCATAGAAAAAACCGCACAAATGGTAAAGTGCATGGAGCAAAATTGCTGCAAATGTCAGTCGGGCAAAAATTGTAAAAGGACGCCAAAGATGAGGCAACACTTGCCATGCCACAGGACCGGCAACGGCAACGGCAACATCAACAAAGTGCTCTAATAGAGAGGAGGTTGCAACATCAGCAGCAACAGCATCCTCTGCTCGTCTTGGCTGCTGCACAAGGGCAAGTGCACGTGCTTGTTGTTTGTGGGCGTGGCATTGTGTTGACGCATGTTGACGTTGCCTTTGAATGGCATCGTTGTTGCTAGTAATTTGCAATGCTAAAACAACATCAAGTGGCTGCCAACAAGGCAGCTAGGGTAAAAATCTGCTAGAGGAGCCATAGGACGACCTTCGACTCACTTAAAATATTCCATAGCACAATTTCATATTTACTTTCGGCTATCCCATTTAATACTTATCAACCGGCTGGGCAACGGGCACATCTCTTGAGAGCAGTCGCCGCTGCTTCATTAATCAACTAATCTAAAGAGTTTCACGGAAATGAAACTCAAGCAGCGTGAAATGTTGCTAAGTGTTGTTGCTGGCTCTGCTGGCTCTGTTGCTGGGGTTAGGGGTTTGCCTCGTCGTCCTGCTGATATCGTTAACACATTACTCAAAAGTTTTAATGTGTTCAAACTCTAGAAGGGCATACATCAAAGGCATGTGCGTAATGCAATTATCGATATTGTCGGAGCATACTGGTATTGGTGTAACTTGTCTTTCACCCAAGCAAAGGCAAAGGCAGCTCCTCAGAATTTGCAAGTCATAATTGAAATTTGCAGGCTCATTGCCCCAGCGTCAGCGCTTGTTCAGTGCAAAAGTTTAGACAAACAACTTTTAAAATGGAAAAGAACGAGCAGACATCGTGTCAGATTACGTTGTGTCTGCTAGCAAATGTTAAGCAGCTGTTAAACATATTATAGCACACTGTTAAGCTTGAGTTAAGTATGAGTATAAAGCGCATGTTAAGTAGCTGTCAAGTGGCAGCTAAATACCATTCGCAAATAGAACTTTTTAAGTCCTTTGACTGTCATCTAAGCATTGTATATACTTATTTTATTTTTTTTATATATATAAAGAATGAATGAGTGAATTACTTGTTGTTTTACCATCTATTCTCCTATTCATCTGTCATATTTTTCAGAAAGTGCTGAGTTAGATAAATGAATCGAAATATTGAATACAAATGCATAGACCCAACGCTAGATGGCGTTACTATCGCAAACGAAATTTACAGGCGTCAAAGTTTCAGCCGAATAAACCAAAGCTACTCGTCGCGCGGAAGTTTGAGTCGAACGGGTAGGTCATGGCAATCCCAGAGGTCTACTTTGCAGATATCAGTTGAAGCTCTGCTTAAGCTTAGTACTTTTCTGATGGGTTTAAGAAGACGAAGCATCACTGCCTTATGTGGATCCTTCAGAGGCCACTTAACGAACCGGCCGCGTATATACGACTCATGGGATCCGACGAAAAAACTTTTTTCTTCAGTTTTAGAGTTTTGATACCAGCTTCGGACACTACTGAGAAAGACGAATTCGAATTTGAATTTTGGTTTCAAGGCTCACTTTACCTTAACCTTTCTGTAAATCAATCTATATCTACGGTTGCCTTCAATCAAGCCCCTTTGCATTTAAGCTATATTCGTAGCTTCTCAGCTGCCTGCTAATTGAAACATTTCACTGCCAGCGATGACTGTCGAGTTATAAGCTTGCAACATTTAAAAAATGACTTGCAAATTGTATAACGGCATTCAAATACAAACCTTGTTTGTTCTTGGCAGGTGAAAGCAAAGTGCCCCCAATAAAATAACAAAGAGTGTCTGATGTATGCAGTAGACTTTAATCGCATCAAAATATTGAAATTAATCGACGCCTGCATTAAACGTAGGGTCCAGGTCTGGGTGGATTAGGGTTGAATGGCGATGGCCGAGTATCAAATGGATTGCGATCCTCACGATGACGAAAACGCGCCTCGCTCAGGCCCAGACCCAACAGCAGCAGCAGCGGCAGCAGCAACAGTTCACGCAGCTTCAATTGCATCTCGTCTCGTTTGTTGATTGATGCCGCCAAGCTGAGGAGACAGCGCTTTTATAGCAATTGATTCGGTCGGGTATTCACATGGCGATAAGCTCGATGCTTAAAGTGCCGATAAGATGGGGATTTCTTCGACGAATAGAAAAATCACCGAGACTTACTAAGAAGAAAGTGTGTGTGCCAAAGGTCGCAGTTCTGTTGCTTGATTATCAGCAGAGCTGTTAACTGACAGCTGTTTAACATTAGCAGGAACTGTTAGAATAGCTAGCAATTGTTTAGAGCAACATAAAGCCTTATAGCCTTATACTGATCTTATAATGATAACTAAACTAATATAAGACCTCATGTACCATAGTGGGAGTAAAGTGAGGAAGTCTCCCTATATAGACTTATAAGTCAATAGTATATGGTTCTCTAAGGGTTACAGCTAAACAGAACTAACAAGGCGTTAATGAGGCAAGAGTTAATAGCAAACTTTAATGATTAGAGTTTGCTATTAACTCTGCTGATTAATCATATATATTAGAAGAGATTCTTTGACTACATATTTAAATATCACTTCTATAGTTATGTATACTAAATTCATCCACATCATAGTCATACATTTCTATGAAATGTCAATTAGCTGCTGTTCAATTTAAATTTATAATATACAATATGTTAAACAAATACAACCTTTTGTTGGCATTCTAAGCAACTTAGATGTAATTATACCACTCGCACGTCTAAGCCCAAGTCAATGAACTTTTTCAGCTTGGCACACAGGCTTAGCAGGGCTTTAACAGGTTTTCAATTAATTATGCATTATGTGTTCAAACAAATATCAAATTTTGCTCATTTTGTATGCAATTCAATTTGGCTGGAGTGGGAGCGGGGTGGTGTCTAAAACTTAAGCGCATGCTATGCGTAGCTGTTCGCCAAACGCAATTGGGTCAATTTGTTAGCTTTGGCTGCTTTTGGTATTATGCTGGGAATTTGCATTTGCCTGGCATGCGGCTCGTCTTGATATCCCTGCTGACAGGTCTCATAAATAATAATTAGAAATTGGGCTAGCGAAGCCTTCGCATGGAAATGCATTCACCTGGTGTGTGTGAGTGTGTGAGTGTGTGTGTGTGTGTGTGTGTGTGTGTGAGTGTTGACACACACGCTGGTTGGTGTTGTGCGTGTGATGGCATTTATAATTTTAATGCAATTTAATTTGCGACGTTTTTGTGACGCGCCAGTGGGGCGTATGAGTAATCAGCTGGCAGCAGCTACAGCAACAGCATAAGCAACAGCATCGGCATCGGCATCGGCATCGGCTTGAGCAGCACAAGCACCAGCACCAGCAGCAGCAGCAGCATCAAATGCCTCCCACTGCTCAACTGTTGCCAGTTTTATTTGCGTATATTAAAATTGAGTACGCGCAAACATTTCAATGAGTTTCACACACAATATTTTTCTTTCCTTTTTGGCTTTGGCTTTCTATTTTCAGACGGCGGCAGATCCAAGAAAAGCGCTAAGAAAAACACTTGCGAAAATTAGCAGCAGCAACAGTCGCAGCCGCTGCTGCCGCGGCATCGGCGTCAGCGTCAACGTCGGCGTCGGCATCGCCATCGGCCGTGTCAAGCTATAAATAGTGCGCACTGTGCGCGTGACAGCTGGTGGGACAGAGACGGTGACGTCATTTGCCTGGATGGACGCTGTGCTCTGCGGCGACGTCATCAAATCAAACAGCTTAGCAGCTAATTTGCAGCAACAACAACAACAACAACAACACGCTGCTGGCCAAAGCCAATAAACACATCATAGACAAGACATTATCAGATGCTCTCAGCGTGCGGGCCACAAAATGTGCGAAACCAAAACGAATTGATAAGATCAGCTAAATATATATAGACTATTTATATATATACATACCTATATATATATAATAACAATATGCATAGAGTAAACACACGAAGAGCCATGAGAATCGCACGAAAGCACAGCAAGAAAAAAGAACGAAAAGCGGAACAAAAACAAAATTTGTCAAAATAGCAAGTGAAATGCTTACAAGCTGCTGAGCCTCAGTCGAAATTCATCGTCGATCGGCGTCGTTGAATGCCTCGCGCTGCTGCGAGCGTCTTTTCTAGCCTCTCTGCGCGCGTGTGTGTGTGTGTGTGTGCGTGTGTGTGTTTATGTGCGTGTATGTAGATGTAGTGCTGTGCGGTTGAATACATATATGCCCATACATAAAAATAAAAATATTTAAAAAATATATATATATATATAATATATATATTTAATGCGATATCTGGCGCTATACGCGCGTAAAAAGTGGCAAACGAACGCCTCTCCTCCACGCTGGCTAAATCGACTTAAACGAGCTACGAGAAACGCGACACATCAACAACTAAGTAACAAGTAATAAATAAACTAACCGAAAAGCAAAAAGAAACAAATCAACAAGAGCTGAACAAGAAGAGCAAGAAAAACTTAAACGAACGCAAATTGATTTTTGCTGCAAACAAATACACAAATATATAAGTCAATAAATACGTGTCATAAATCATCACGAATAATTTGTGCTAAATCCGTTTCAAAACTTAAAATGTCAACCATAAATTCAAGCAGAGGATTTCATTTAACACAATTGCAGCTGCTCTAAACGGTAAGTACTCTATACACACATACATATGTTCATAGATGCTTGTATCTATATTTTAGTCGAGTAATAAATTAAATCTGTGGGATTTATGACATTTGATTTGCAGCTCGACTTGAGGCTTTTTTGTGTTATGTGCAGGAGCTGTTTCTGAAAGGTTTATCCGCAACTTGAAGTTGGTAGAGCTGGTAGAGTAAGCAAATTTTGATTTTTTACTGCAACGGCAGCAAATTCTTAACGGCAAAGTTTTGGTCGACTTGATATCCTTAATCTGTGCTAACTGCTTTGTTCACATATCCAGCCAGTCTGTCTGACTCTCTGTCTGTCTGTCATGTCTATTTGGCTGTTTCTATTCAAACCAGTTTCGTCGCTTTCAAACTATTCTCATACAACTATGCATAGCTGCACATTTGCCTTTGCCTTGCAGGCAGCACAAAAGTTGCTTCAATTGAATCGTAGCATCAGGGTCTTGTCACTGAAATTCCTTTAAAAAAGGCCTTGAGCAAAAATACTTAAATTAACAAAAAAAAAAATTGCTTATAATTTTTATTTGAATTATAATCAACTAAAACATGTTGACAAACATGTAAAAAATTTATAAAAATTGACAAACTGAAATATTTCAATATTGCTAATTCTCTAATGAAATCTTAATCATTTATGGATAAATAAATACATATAAATATGTAAATGAATAATTATAGGTATGTATATATATACATACATGTTTAAATTATGAGTTTTACCATTAGCAAAACAATTATTAATTAGCGTTTCTTTTTTTTTTTTTTTTTTTTAATTCATTATTTTGAGGAGATTTCAGAGTCAGTCTGAATAAGAAGAGAATATTTTTTTATTTTTATTATTATTTTTTTATTTTAAGTATCATATATTTTGTATGCAGGCTGCACTCTTGCAAATTAAACGTCTTTCAGACACTTTTCTAAGCCATATCTAGACAGTAATGTAAATTACTGAAAAGTTGAGTAAAACTAAATCTGCAGCTATTATTTTAATGAATTGGATGGAAGGCAAACTAAATCTAGTTTTTTGAGTTGCCTAGAAAGCAAAGTAAACTCTGATGCAACAATGTTTCTTAATTGACAAGATTTTTAAATATTTTTTTTTGTCATCTTGATGTGCTCGGCAATTTTATAGTTCAGAAATGAAGTGCTGCTGGATAAGTATAAAATTTGAATGAATATATAGTGTGAGATCTCACTGAAGAGAATACCTAGAGAATAAAATGTACGTACGTGCGTACTGCTGCCTGTTAGGTTGGCTGACAGGCAATTTGTATGGTTTGCTAGTCTGCTTAAGCCTCAATGGCTGTGCTTTGAAATTTTTTCCAAGAAATCCTGAAATTCTCATGACTTGTCTAGCAAGTCTAAAAATTAGGCATTGAATTTTAAACAGAGAATGAGAGGAGGCTAAAGTTAAGATTTGATTTTTGTCATGTGTAATTTTTTCTACAGCAATATGAGAAATTATATTTAGAAAAGTTATGTAGAAATTTAAAAAGAATTTTATACACATAAATATAAAAATAAACCAATTTTTTATCATAATTTATCTATATAATTATATTTTTCTTGGAAAAAAAGCTTCCATGCAGCTCAGCTTCGCTCAACTCAAATTTATTGAGAATAAATATTTACATGACAATTTCAGGCTAGATAATTGACATACGCATTTTTGGGCCATTAGGAGTGAAAGCATTTGCATTTTTGACAGCCAATCAATCAGTTGGTTGACCTTATAAATGACCTGTCTAATTAGCCAAATGCGTTTTGGCCTTTTGTCTAAGTCAAAATGTGGCTATTTCCGTGTAAAAAAGGGCTCAAGACTTATTCACTTATTTATGTACAAATATATGATAGCGAAACGTGCCACGGTAATAGGCTTTGTGTGTTAGACATGGAGAGAGGGAGAGAAAGATGGAGAGAGTGAGAGAGAGAGAGAGGGGAAGAGTGTGTGTGGGAGGTGTAGCATAAGCCTACGTTGATTCAAAACGGGCTCACGCGGCGCATACACAATTTGTGTGCCACTGCCGCTTCCTGTGGGGTTTCTCTGCTCTCTCTCTATCTCTTTCCCTCTCCCTCGCTCTCGCTCTCCCTCACTGTGCATGTTTGTCTGCATGAATGTTTTCATAAATTGAGTTTGCTTTTTTCGACAGCTCCTTTTGTTAGGGGTTGACACCGACAGCGCTCGCTCGCCATCACTCGCCCACCCCCAGTCCCGCTGAGCGCCCCCCTACGCCTTGCCTCTTTTATGCATATATACTACCTGTCATTATTCATTGCGATGCGACTTTTGTGTCTGTTGCTGGCGTCCGTTGTGCCGCGTCAAAGCTGCGCATTTCAATAAGGGAATTATGAGCTATTAGGCATATATATATGTTATATTATAACAAAAATAAAATACAGCTATTAGGAACCTGCTGGCTCATTGTTATGCACGCTAAGAATTGTGTGCTTGAGGGCGGCTTACGCAATTGATTAGCCTGAGATGCTTTGCTGTGAAGTAGTTGTGCTTGTAGGGCGCAAAGCATTTCAGGAATTTTGTTTTATTTATGTACATGCATACATATACATATATGCAATAGAACACAGAAAACTTGCTTAATTTATGTGCACAAGTTCAATGTAATAAAAATAAATATAACACATGTGCAAAGAGCAATTGCAATAGCTTCAGCTCAAGCTATATGGGCGCACTGCCATCCCATCTAGTTACGTGTGTGTGTGTGTGTGTGTGTGAATCTGTGTATCTGGGTCTTTACAGTGCCCCCTCGTACCTTGACAATGCACTTGAGTCAAGTTTGCTTCCTCTCTGCCCAGGTTGCCGAGCTGCTTGGCTGCCAATGCAAAGGCTGCCAAAATTGCATTGAGCGACAGCTTGGTCGCGTCAGGGGTATCAAAAGGGGGTGGGGGGAGGGTGTGTGCGGGTATGGGCGCATGGGCGTCCGGCAGACGCCCAAGCATGATACGAGCAGCATGTAGCAAGCAGCTGAAGCAGAAACAACAACAGCAACAACAACAACATCAACAACAACTACAACAACAACTACAGCTACAACAACTGCGGCAGCTGCAGCAACCAACGCGCACTGCTTGTTTATTTATTTATAACATTTTGTTTGCTGCTCGTTGCCTCGTCGCCTGCTGTTTGCTGTCGCGTTTCCTGATTATGATCCACCCCTGCCATTGTGGGGTATATTGGCTGGGTCATTAAACATGCCCAACACATGGCGTCCAAACTGTCTGTCAGTGTTCGCATTTTATATGCAACTGCAGGCTGTCTAATAATGTCTTAACTAGTTCTAAATTTAGTTTGACATAGTAAGTGCATCTGCGGAATGATTGAATCGAATGGAATGAGGAATGGAATAAGCTAAAGGTATTTCGATATTTCGATATATATTTGAAATATTGCAAGGTATAAGTGAAACGAATAATTAGAATGTGCCGAATGATATTTGTTTTGTGATTCATTTTAAATGCATCTCGGATGATTGTGTTAATGGCCATGAATGAAAGTGATGAAAGAGAATGATGTTAATGATGACTTTGTATTGGACTTGATTTTATGAGGGAGTGAAATGAAAAACTTTGAATAATATAAATGAAATTTATGGTGTTCATATAGTAAATCATTTTGAAGGGATGATGGGCAAAATGGCAACAATTTGTTTTATGAGGTAATGGTACTTTGAATGGACTGAAAAAGATAGAGTTTTTAATTTGAATGTGTTTATTTAAAAAACTTATGATTCACTTTATAATTTTTAAATTCATATACAAGAATTATTTATTATGCAGTTGATTTTCTAAATGATTCATTTGAGGTGAATTGTAGATTCTGAATGCATGAAGAAAGTATGAGTTCAATTCACGTAAATGATTCATTATGAATACACACAAAATAGAAAAACATATCAATATATATGCAAATAATTTTTATTTTATTTTAATTTTTATTTCCTGCTTTTTTCAGGAGATTAAAATTTCTTAATTTTATAATTCCTTTATATCCCGCTTTACTTTAACAAACACGAATGAATTCAATTTGAAGATTAATATGTTAATTCAATTGCATATTCGAATAATTATGAATTTAACGGAAAACGTAAACTGAGAAACTTTTTGCTCAATAGCTCGTTTGATTGTATTTCAAAAAGTGTCGGACTCTGGACGAAGTTTGCTTTATTTGATGCAACATAAAATTCATTAAAAAGTTTTTCTGTATAAAAATAATGAGAGTGTGAGAGCTGAAAAACTGGTGGGAATATTGAATTTCCCAGTCGTAGCCTGAAATACAAGCGTATGAAAACTTTTTGTTGGGCTTGTTTCTCTGATTGGAAATGAAAGATGAGAAAAATTTGCTTGTTAATGCTGGAGTCACTTTGTTTGCTAGGACAACAAGGCTCAAATGCTTAACTATAAACACGGTAAATATATTGTTATAGCATACGTATATATTTCAGTGTATTTGCTCTTCGTTGAGCTCTATAAATTTGTTTTCCTTGCCTGTTTTGAATTCATTTTCATGCTGGGCTTGCCATGAATGATAAGCGCAAGTACTTCAAAGTAGCTAACGGGCTGCCAGTCTGCCACAGCCCGCCTCTGCACCTGCCTCTGCCACTGCCTCTGGCACCTCTTGCCACCCTCTGCAGCCGTTTCTCAATTGTTGCCCCACTGTCGGTCGCTGTGGGGCTGTCAGTGCCATTGTCAGACAGCGTCAGATTGGTTCATTGTTTTTATTATTATTTCTTCTTTTTCTTTCGTTTTTGTATTTGTTGTTCTTTTTGTAGTTAATTAATTTTATATACTTACCGTTGCACTTTTATGGCACAAACAAATTGCTGCAGCCCAAAGGCGTTTGTCATTGTTGTTGTTGTCGCAGTTCGTTGCTGCTGTTGTTGTTGTTGTTGTTGTTGTTGTTGTTGTTGTTGTTGTTGTTGTTGCTTGTGCATTCCATAAATTGGCTTCCACGTGGAGCTTTGCTTTATGATATGGCCATCTGGCGTATTGGATAAATCGTATACCTTACAGAGTTGCTCTCTGTTAACCTTTTGACATCGAAAGCTTTCAGTTTCCATTTTTCCACTCCCCTTTTCCACTCTAATACATTCCTGTACATCATGCCGCACCGCTCTAAGCATGATTGATCAATGTTGACAGATTTAACGAGCTGCTAAAGTGCTGCAAAACAATTCAATTATCGGAGCGTGTGTGTGTGTGTGTGTGTGTGTGTGGGTGGGTGTGTTAGTGAGTGAGTGCTGCTGCTACTGGGCAAATGGAAGGTAAACATTTGCATATATATGCTTAACCTTTTTATAACCTGCTGCAAATGCATCATCGGTCTTACATCATCTGGAACATGATTATCAGCAGCTGGCAACATCATGATGAGCTATGGAACTACTGGGACACACTGAGAGTATGTGTGGGAATGTGCTTTGAAGCTAAAAGTTGTCGATGTATATAAGGTGGTGTATATGCCCATATAAGAAAGTCAGGAGGAAGCAATGCGAAGCCTAAATCATGCAATTTAGCTATCGATTTCATTGATTTGCGACGCGCTGCGATGCATTTTCCATTTTCTATATATATGAGGTCGCGCTGTCGTCTTTATTTAATAATCATGTATGCATTCACCAGTTGAAAATATCCAGTTTATATAGCTAAGTTACATGTGGATCACCCACAAAGTGCTTTGAATAAGTTGCTAGAGTCTAAATTTGGAGTTTTCTAGCTGTTAAATATATATATTATTCCTTATTCAGGAAAATTCCTCTTTTCACAAATATCTAAAGCATAATTAGATCAAAACTACAATACTGCTTATAGTTTTCTCATTAATATTTCATATTTAATTAATTTTCAATGAATTTCATGGCCCCTGAACGCCCATTATGCAGTCGGTTGGATCCCATTGCAATGTGCTTACTTATTCCATTTAGTTTGCCACGTTTTTAGTTGCAATGCCTGGCATTTAGGTGTGTGTAATTATTTATGTGTGTGCTGACCTGCCACACATTTCACACGGCTCTCACACACACACGCACACATTGACAGGCATTGCAGCTTATAAATAATTCAGTTTGTATTTCAATTGCGTGATTTCGTTACCCTTCAGAAAAACGAGAAAAAAAAAAGAAAAAGAATAAACTGAAATGAAAATATTTTCATCATTTATAGCGGATTCATTTATTTATTTATTGATGCATATTCGGGTTTTGCTTTCTCTCTGCTTTCTCTTCTGGTATTCAGCGATTGCAAGGTCCCTGTTGTCAGCTTATGACAATACGAATTTAATCGCTCTCTGGGCTGCTGTTGCTGCTGCTGTCTGTGCGTAATGCGATTTCAATGCCGTCTAGATTTCAGCTGGCCATTGGCCAAAAAGTATCTCAATATTACTTAAGTTTGCGCTCGTCTTGTTTATGTAGCCAGAGGTTAGCCAGGTCTTTGCCATAAATTTCTGTAGATGAAGATGCCGAAGCATTTGAAAAGTAATTTATAGTTAATAATGGTCTTTAGTAAGTGATTTGTGATTACTTTATCTCTTTTTTTGATTTATCATGTGAATTGCAATTTAGTTGGGCATTAAGTCAGTGATGGGAAATAAATATATAGAGATGATTTTGTTTTTCGGTTGTTAAGGGTTAGTTTAGTTAGATTGAAGAATATTTATAAGAAATGTTTTTTTTTTTTTTTTTTTTTTAGCTTTTAGTTTTATATTCCGTTTTGATTAGTTTAGCTAATATTTCTACTGTACTAGCTATAAAATTTAATTAAAGTTAGCTAGTCTTAGCTGCATTTCTCCTCCCACCTCTAATTATTACTCAAAAATCTAACTTCATCTTGCCAGCTAGCCAAATTAAATTCTAGAATTTTCCCATTTTTAAAGAGCTTCACACTCTAGCTTTATCTTGCCAGCTATATATCATCTTGACAGCTTTCCATCTAACCCTCAACCAATTATCACATTTTACACTCAATTTGCTCACAGTTGGCTCAGCTTTTCCTTTAGCACTCTAATTAATTTGGCTCATCAATTTTCTAATAGCCGCTCAGCGTGATAATAACAAACTCTTCATGCGCGTAGCTTCACTCTTGGCTAAGTACATAATTTCTGTTAATTTTTGTTCAGAACCATTATTTGGCTCTTAACTAACTGGGCTAAGCACGCATTATGCTCTGCGGCCCCTTGTCTGCGTTTAGGCCTTCATATTTTGGCAGACATGTGAGAGAAAAGTTGGGCCGAACTTTTGTTTTGCCAACTGCCAGCAAAGTTGGTCCAGCAGCTGCTCCCGGCTGTCCCAAATCCTGCTGAGAGCATATCACTCGCAACATCTAGCATCATCTAGCAGCATCCTCTCGCCACTCGCTGTTCAATTCGAATGTTAAACAATTTAATGAGCACGAAAATTGCTGCGAAATGCGAATTGCGAAATTCTAAATAATTCATTTATGTTTTGTGGTCAAAGTTTTTGTTTTTATTCATTTCCATTACGCCCGACAGACGATGTTCAATTAAACTGAGCACAATCAATGCTTTAATTAGTGAAAACATCCTGCAGACATGTGGCGTAGATGAAATTGACTTGTTTGACTGTTTGAAGTTTATTTGACTCTGAAAAGCTTTTGATCTTCATTTAATTAAATTGTTCTTCTAGTTGAGCACTTTTTGGACATTTATACCAATGTGTGTTTGTTTGCTATAAATGAGCACGTTTCCTGCATAGTTTATCTTCGGAATTTCATTATTAGTTGAATTGTTAGTTCTCTGAGCTAGCTGACAATTGGCTTCTCAATTTGAAATATGAATTCTTCGTTGTAGTTTAAGAATATTATATAATATTATTTTAATTAATTAAAATATTCGCCTTTGTTTAAGACTTTAAGAAAAATCAAGCTGGAAGTCAATGAAACGTTTGAACATAACTTTTATTTTATATTGAGAGCCAATTATAATATTTTGTATATGCCCACATATGAGATGAAATATTGTGTAAGCTTACAGTTTAAAACACTGCACATAAAAATAAATTACAGGGTATTTTATTGTTTACATCCCGGCAAATTGCAAAGCCAAAACTAAATAATAATTTATAATTATTATTTAATCTCTTTAATTCCACTGTGAACTCTAACTAATTACTCTCTCTCTCTCTCTCTCTCTCTCCGTCTCTCTCTTACAGTTATTGCCAGCATGCAACGCACTAAATGACAACACGATCCCAAAAAGTTCGAACTCGTTTTGTGATAAACCCAAGTTGAATCAAGTACGCGCCAATTATAGTTTAACATAATTTCTTCTTCTATCTATATTTATACATATATATTTATAGTATAAATACTTAATTACTATACGTAACTCTTTTTAGTTTACTGAGACTTTGAGACAGAACAAAACACAACATTATAAAAGACAAATTGACGACACACTGCACTAACTAGAAGAAGAAGAAGGAGAAGAAGCAGGACAACAATAATAAGCAAATAACACAAAAAGACAAGTCCGACCCTCTCGAACCGCTAGTAGTTAACCACGTTTAGTTAAGCGCTTTATGAACTTTGTTAGCCTTATAGTGTTAAGGACTTAGCCCGAGTGCGCTCTGATCAGATTCATAGCGTGTTGCCATCATGTCACATGGCGACATTGAGGAATGTACGTAATATATCCCGCCGATGAGCTCATCTTAATGACCTATGGTTTCTATGCACCACGTGTGAAACCGCGTCCCACACTCGACTGCCTGCGTGAACCGCTCATACCCATCGAGGTCCCAGCGAGATCAGCGAGACCCGTCGGCATCTTGGCCAACAGTGCAGCCAACGCCAGTTCCAGCTTCAGCCATCACAACTTTATTGGCGCCGCCGCCACCAGCTACACAAACGACTCGACGCGACCCACCGAGTGGTTAGCGGCCGCCGTACAAGCGCCCAATCCGTCACGCATTCCCACAGCACCGCCCAACTCGCCGCACCGCCAGCCACCTAGTGTTAACTTTTTTAGCTTTGAGCAGGAGACGCCGTTGCAGCAGCAGCCAGAGCCAGAGCCGGAGCCGAAGCCGCAGCCAGAGCCGCCAATATTGCCAATTGGTGTGCAATCAACGCAGACACAGAGCCTGCCGCCGACGCCGACGCGACGCACCTCACGCGCCTCGCTAACCCACTCGAATCACAATTCCGGTGGTGGCAGCAAACGCTCGAGCGTGCGCAGCAATCGTTCACAGGCGCCGTTGACGCCGCTGCTGCCACATCAGCGACCGCTGAGCACGTCCATGTATAATGACGCCAGCATGCAAGGAGGCGGCAATCCCAGTGCATCTGGACGTGCACCATTCCAACGCAGCAGCGCCTACGACGAGGACTCACGTCTGATTGACTATGGAGCTGCAGGCGCTGCAGCGGGCGGGGCAGGCGGCGCAGTCGGAGCGACTGGCGCTCTGGTTGATGCCCGTTCGCGCAGTCCCAGCATCTTCCTGGAGCCACCCTCACCAGATCCCACGCACGCACACTTCGGCCCCGGCTGGGGTCGACCCATGTCGCCCATGGACCTGCCACCAGAGTGCTCCAGCAGCAGCCTGGCCAGCAAATCGCCAACGAGCAGCAAATCTCGTTTGCGGCCCAAGCTCCACATACCATTGGGTCGACTGGGTCGCTCCACTTCCTCGGATACGCGCGAGAGCAATCGCCTGCGCGAAGATGTTCATGTGCATGTCGAGAATCCGGTCTTCAGCAGCGAGAATCTGCGCCAGAACAACTTCGATGCATTCTTCGAGGCACGCGAGCCGGTCATCAAGCTGCAGCCGCGCAGCCCGAACGCAGCGTCGCCGGACGGACGCGGCTACTCGCCCCCCCTGGAGAGATATGCGGGTGTCTATGACTCACCGCGTACGCGCACTCCGGCTGGCAGTGCGGCCGGCGGGGGCGGGGGTCTGTTTGCGCGCTCACCGCGGGAGGATCGGGAGCGTGCGCTCAATGCGCGCTCCCGCAGCGCAGACAATTGGGATGAGGCGGCTGGCGGTGCGGCGGGCGGGGCGACCGGCGGGGCCGGCAGCAGCAGTGCCGGTGCTGGTGGTCGGGCTGGTGGCGGCGCGCACTCCAAAGGTGACAGGTGCCCCCAACAAATCTATTCTCTCACAAGCTAATCAAATTGTTTACAGTTCGTTCTTATGCCGCTGCTGCCGCTGCCGCTGCTGCTAAAAGAAAAACAAAAATTTACTCGTTGAAAAAGTTGTTGCATACAACAAATGTCTGTTCATTCGTTTGATTGATTGATTGATTGAGAACTGCATAATCAGCCAATGCGCTGCAAGTTTTCTCGCTGTGCAGTCGTTGACAATATTTTGATGCCGCTTGTCAGAAAAAAATGAAGTTCTTGCAGGATTTATATGCGCGAGTTTGTTAAATCAAGTGTTCAGACAGAAGAAGAAGAAGATTTTCAAAAGACTTATTCATAAGAAGGCTAACTCAAAGAAGAAGATATTAGGGACACTTCAAGTAAGATCTTTTTATTAAAGGTGAATTATTTAAAGACCTTAAGAAAAACTATGAATAAAACTATTAATAAAGACGGATAACTGTGAAAGGACTCTTTAAGGCTAATGTGAATCATTAGATGAAAATTTGATAAATATTTAACTGAAAAAATATTATTAAAAAAAAAAAAAAAAAAAAACATTTTAATAGGACTCTAATAGGCATTATTATTTGAAGTAGGAATTACCAAGTCGCAATATCAATGGGCTGCCACCTTTAAAAAAAATCAAATTTTATTCAGCTTTCATTTCTTCAAATTATATTTTATGTCAAATCAAATGAATTGAAATGAATTATGGCTGACTTTTAGTTAAAGCCGATTGAAGTGAAAGTTTCTTCATTGTCTGAAATTCAAACCAGCCTTCAATATATTATCTAAGACCACAAATACTCTGGCGTCTTACATAAACAAAGTTTCACTAAGTAAACTCCTTAGAGTTTTCTACAAATTTTCTTTGGCTTGGTAAATAGTTCAGAGCTGCAAGTGGCTCAACAAGTTTCTTGCAGTTCTGAGTGTCTGACTAGTTAAAGCTCTTCCATACGATATAGATATTTAAAAGTTTTGGGGTTAGATTTTGTTGAAACTAAAGAGGTCTGGGCTAAGTAGCTAAAATTGGTATACATATGAAACATTTTAAGTCTCAGTTTCGAATCTTAAACTCTTTAAATAAAAAATCTAGTCTAGGCAATAAATACGCTGTAAGAATTGTTGCAATTCACATAGACAAAACTGCAAGAACTCACAGACTAAACAAGTCAGACGTCAGGCACAAGAAAAAAAAAAAAAAAAGTGGAAATATGTTGAAAAAGAAGGAAAACAGCGCATTAGTAATTCCTGCAAGGATATGCAAGCTATTCGCATGCCAAACTTGAGTTATTTTTCATATTTTCTTACACGTTTGCATAGTTACCGTTACCTTTTATGAGCGAATGAATAATATGAAAACAAGAAAATCTTCAACTAAATATGGAACGCGTCGAGCTGCCTTCCGCCGCTTGACTTTAACTCAAATCCGGGCTGACTGCCTGTCGTCTTATCCTAATTCTTATCACACATGTACCAATCTCCGTTCTCCTCGTTCTTCGCCTCTTGCATGCAAAGTGGATTATGTGCATGCTTGCATATGCTTCGTACATATAGACACACACACACACATTTATACTCACACTCACACACATACATGCACTCACACGTGGGTGAGGCTTAACCTTGCATTGCGTGGCGCGAGGCGGGGCCTGAGGAGCTGTTTTGGAGCGCGTGTTTTTCCACTTGGAAATGGGCACGCACATAATTCCTTGGCAAATGCAAGTGCGAGTGCTTACAAAGGGCAAACTAGCAAAAGGAGGCATGCTGCACATCCTGCCGTCGCAGTTGCAGCTGTTGCTGGCGTAGCCAAGCTTAGCAGCGCATGAAGTGTAATCAACAACATTTGGCGCGCATCCTGGGCGCCAGGAGTTGGCCGCACGTGAGCACGCGACGGCTCAAGAATCCAGTTGTCGCCCACTTGGAATTCATTTAAAAGTTCAGAGCGTAGCAAATTTGATGACCAGCAGGAGTAGCAGCTATCAACTGAAACTAAATCAACAGCGTGTTAGACGTGATCCGAGCTGCTGCTGCTGCCACTGCTGCCACAGGATATTGTGTGTGGCATGCCCTTGGCTTATGTGCAGTCGAGTTGCCACATGCAATGGCGTCATTCAATGCGGCTAAATAATTGCCGTAGCATACTTTTGTGGGCGAGCAAATGGAACGAACGCAAATAAAATCACACTCATACGCCACGTGTGCTACTAAGGGTTGCGTGTGTGTGTGTGTGTGTGTGTGTGTGTGTGTGAGTGAGTGTGGTCAAACAATTGGACAGCTAAAAAGCTGAAACTCTTGAGCACTCTAAACCGAATGCCCCCAAATGCCTTTTTAGCCGTAGCAGCAGAAATAGAAGCCGTTACGCTTCATTTATCGATTGAATTTGAAATGAGCCTCAATTGGATAGCCTCGACAATGTCTTGGCAGCCACGAGGCGGCTGTGTTGCTTTGTTGACTTTTGTAATGGGCGCCCAAGCACTTGAAATTTCCGTTTGCTCAACTGACAAATACAACAAACAAACGGAATGGATGCAAACCGAAGGCCCACGTCAGGGCCCGGCTCATTATTTATGCATAAATATGAGAGGCAGCGATTTGCTGCCGCCCACTTGGTGGGCGTGCACAGATGTCTGGCACGTCAGCCGCAACCAACCTGGCTGCCACACACCCCCCACACACACACCCACACACGAAGGTAGAAGGCGAGAGAAAAAAAATAAGGAATTATTAAAGCTGGGCCCAGAGCTAGGGTAACTGCGGGAGACGACGCCGACGATTCCAACTGTTTCATTACGAGCTATTTATTTACTTATTTTCCTACAGATTTGTTGTTTTTCATTTATTAAATTTGTTGCGTTACGATTTGATTGGAGATTTGATTAAATTGATATGAAATTAATTTTGTTTGCGTTTCAGTAATTTTATTTGCATTTTTATTTCCTTTCGAATTTGAATTTAATTCATTTACATTTTGCTTTGAATTAATTATTGAGTTTGAGTTGAATTTAATTTTTGTGGTTACTCTTTGATTGTTTTCTTTTGAATTGAATTGTTTTTGTTGCGGTTGGAAATATTATTAATAAGCCTTCGTTTACTTCGCACAGATTCTTTGGGAAAATCTTCAAGTGGTCGAAGAAATCGTAGTTTCTTCGGGTGGAGGGGACCACACGGTGGTTCCCTTAGCCCACAGGGCAGCATGGCGTCCTATAATGGCATACTCAAGGACTACAGTCACAGCAGCTTGAATGAGGCTTTCAAATCCCAGAACAATGTCAACTTTAAGTTAATTAAAACAGGTGAGTGAAATAAATACACATATCTATATACATATATTAGCAGCCTGCGAAAGTTTTCGTTTCGCTGTCTATTTTCATGCTCAAATGAACACTTTGTGTATTGTGCGTGTGTGTGTGCGTGTGTTGGGGAAGAAATGTTGTGTGTTTTATTTGCAAAAGTTTTTTGATTGTTTTGACTTTGTGCTCCGTGTCTCTACTGGTATTTTATGTGGCTTTCGGTTTATGGCTTATTGATATCAATCGCAGCGCGTCTTTGTGCTCAGCATACCTAGTGATTGTGCCATAAATCTATAGAATTGATGTCGAACACGTTTTCAACTTGCTGCCCTATAAATAACGCCAGCTTAGCATCTGGCTACCATAGCGATATGTCCGCTTTACAGCTTAAGGCGCACACATTTCTCTTCATATGTGTAGTAGTGCCGTGTGTTGTAGTTGCCTTTGCTGCCCTTTTTGAAGTTTGTTACAACTTTGTGCACATGCTGCATTGACTTGGCCAGCTCTGATACCCTGTAGACACTGTTGATTGTCGGCTGGCAAATATCAAAGCGAACAGCTGGCAAATACTTATCATGCATGAACGATGCGAACATGTAATTTATTTATTTTGCTGGCTTTTTCTTTTTCAATGGAATTTTTGTTTATTATTTGTCCCACTGCCATGAGGAGTCACACAAAAATATGTTTTTTAATGCGCAGCACTGAAAACAAATCAAAAGTCCTGACAAAAACAGCGAACATGCTGTAAATATGAAGATATTTGTAAACAATATGAAAAGTCTGCAGAGAATCTCTATAGAGCATGGAGATGGTATGGCATAATACGATTGATTTGATGTAAATTGAAGGAAACCTGTGCAAATGAAATATAGTTAGAGATGGTCATCAAAATGCGTGAATTTAATGAAAATTTTGTGGAGGAAATTTTTTCAAGAAAATAGTAAAATATGATTGAGAATATTTTTCATATGAATTCAGCTTTGATACAAATTTGTTATTGGAATTTGGATTCGATATAGCAAAATACTGAATTTTTATTGGAGTTTTTATGTAACATAATGTGTAATGGAAATTGACTAAACAAGTTTATAGCTGTAAATTTAATTGCAAGCGCAGTGAAGCAAAATAGTTGAAAATATTTGTTATATTCATATGTGTACATTATTTTTATTTTTTTTCGCCACTGCACTTGCAATTAAATTTATATATATAAATTTATAAAAATATTTCATAAAATAAAAATATTTCATTGGTTAAAATACTTGAAAAATTTGTAAAAAAAAAAAAAAGAAATGTAGATTTAAATGTTTAAATTTAATATAAATTTTCAATTTTCGCAACAGCTGCAAATATGTCTCACACATATAAATCTAATTAAAAAATAAAAAGTTGAATGTGTAGCACAATATTCTTCAGTTTAGAGCAAAAGGTCTGTTTAAAAAGTTTCAGGAATGTTTAAATTCCGTGGGTTACGCATGTATGAGACTCAACATGTTAGTACATTAAGGCAACATGTGTGGCCACTATGAATGCTTTGTTAGTTTTTAGGGAAATATATTTTAAAAAATATATATATAGTTAAAAACCTTTAAACAGCTAATGTAGTGAATAAAATAGAGATAAAGTGAAATTTAATATCAAAAAAAAGTTTTGAGGAGATGAAAATAAAATGAAATAAATATATACAAAGAGAAGCCTTCATACATAATGATATTCTTTGAGCAGACCTCGTCTAGGATAGTGTTTAACAAAAATTAAATAATGTATTATAATGATAATCTCCCAGATCAACTCAATCATTACCAATGCCGCCTCCAGCCGCATACCCATTAGTTTACAGGGCATCTGTGCAATGGCAACTGGTGCCTCATATTTGGTCTTGTTTGTCTTCACTTGTCGGAAGGACGCACGAGCATAACTTTTGACTTGTGTCACTAAAAGTTACACAGCCTGTTTGCCTGCCAAAGCACAACATATACTCGCAGTGCGCCAACTGAGCAGAAACTGCACAGAAACTGCTCAGAAAATTGCATTTGCGTTGCCCGTTTGCAATTTCAACTCAGCTCAGCTGCGAGAGTTGGACTGGGTGAAAAAGTTTTTAATAACATTTCGTTGTGCGGCATGATTTGACTTTGGGCGGCGGCCGAGTGCTGCCGCAGCTGACCCAGGTATCGATGGACCTGATTGCAATTTCCGGCAGCAGAAGAAACAAACCATATACTTAGTTTAGCTGACCACAAAGGCGAATAATGTCTTGAGTTGAATAAGCCAAGTGTTAAATTGAAATGCAGTTAAAGTGCGCTACAGCTTGTTGGCGGCTGCTGTTGGTCAATAAAACGGGTTTATGCCAGGTGACAGGGGTCGGGTTGGCTAAAAGTTAAAAGCCACTGCAGATTCTTAAATATATATGTATATGTATGCATATTGAAACAGTCGTAAATGTGATGGATTACCACGATGACAGACAGTTCTCTTAAGCGAGTGTGTGTGTGCACACTGTACAGGTCGTCTGTGGGCGGGCTATTCCCGCCCTGTTTTTACGAGGCATCCTTTTTACATTAAGTATACGCATGCCAAGGCTCAGCATCAATGTATGTGTGTATGGGTATGTGTGTGTGTGTGTTTGGTGTAAAGGCCTTCGAGTAGTAAAGATTTGATTAAATCCTTAGTTGAAACATTCAACTTTCAGTTTAAGTGCATTTGAGCCTGAAGTTGGCGCGCAAGCTTTGAGCAAACGCTTCACTTAATAGTTTTCTAGCTGCTAAGCTGCAGCCATGTATATGTGTGTGAGTGTGTGAATGCATTCTCTACTCAACACTAATGCACTTTGCCGCTGAAAATCAAAGCATTTTGCTGCTGCCGTTGCCCATTTAGCTAAATGCTTAAAGAAATCTTTAAAGCCGACTAGAAAAACATTCACCTTGCTTTAAATTGATTAGAGTAATACAATAAATACTATAGAAAAGGAAAATATTTTAGGTTGCTTAGCAGATGAATTAAGCGCATTTTACTAATTCCATTATAATAATTGTCCGGGAGTTGGATTGAATATTTAGTTAGCAATTTGCAAACGAAATTCAAACATTCGACATTAAGTATGCGCCCCGTGTGCTGTGAAGGGCTTTGCCCCTGCTCTTTGCAAAAAATCTAACCCTATAAAGAGCAGAACGTAAAACGTAAATCCAAAATGCTCTCATCTCTCGTCCTATTCTCGGTCTATGCAAATTGAGCGCTGTGAGGCATATTCAAACTAGTTTTTGGTTAGCTATTTGATATTCCAGTCGTTCACACAGCGTCCAAACTATCGACGCACATATATAATTGAGTTAGGTATTTGAGAGAGGGGGCTGTTTGTTGTGGCCTACACTATAAATAACTAATCGAATCAACTTTTAAATTTATTAACACTAAAATACCAAAAATTGTAAACTAATTATTATTAATTATTGATGGAAATTTTTGTATTGCTTTCATTAACATTTTCGATTTGCTTTCATTGCAGTATCCGATTTCAACGAATCACTCTCCCAATTGTATGAGGAACATGCAACTGCCCTTCAGACTCTAGTATCCAATTATCGCAAAAAGAATGCCGAGCTGCGCAAGGAGAGGTATGTGAGCCTGTCAAGCATACGAAATTCAATGGATATTTTTTAATGATATGGTTTTTATTTTTGTTTGTGCTTTCATTTTCATTTTCAATTACAATTTCATTTTCGCTTTCATTTTTGTTTTCGTTTTCGGTTTCGTTAAATGTTGACAGACCCGCCTGCCATCTGGCCATCTTTCAGGCATGGGAAACATTCCTGCAGGAAACGGAAACCGACTCGCAGGCCTGCAACGATGTTGCCAGCGTCCTCAGCCGCCAGGTGAGAGAGCATTTATATACGGTGTGACTGTGTGTGTGTGTGTGTGTGTGTGTGTGTGTGTGTGTGTGTGTGTGTGAGAGTTGTTGACAGTTAAATGGATTACTCGTGTTGACCTCAATGAAAACATAAACCGAAAAACCAAAAAGACCCCAACCCAACCATTTTACGAGTGCAACGAAAATAGATTGTTGCTGTCATAAGCGTTAATTGAATAATGGGCCTAGTTAAATCAATCGCGGGCTATTCAGAGCATTTCATTATGTGTATATTTGTTACATTTATGCATGCGTATGTTACATGTATACAAGTCAACTAATTACACTTAATGTGCCGAGCGCTTGGGGTTGGCTATTTAAGTGTGTGTGTGCGTTTGCCTGTGTGTGAGTGCGCGTGGACTATTCCTGTGTATGTGCGCCCTGGGAATTCACAAGTGTAATTGAAGCGACGCATAATGTCATCACTTTTTTTTTTATACACCTGCTATCTATAGATTAAAGGGTATATACTGCTGTTATGGAGATATGGAGAGATAGCTTCTAATTGCTATACTTATATCTCTGTTCGGCTATACTATTTAAGGTAGTCGTAGTAGTTAGCTCTTTTATCGTTGCTTTATATACCAAAATTATCTTATTTTATTATACATTTTTTTTTAGCTATAAAACGAAGTGTTAGGCATGTAGTAAGTGTGTCAAAGTATGCTTATCTGAATTATGCATATATGTATATCAAGCAGAGGCACTGTAGTCGAGTGTGTCCTTCCCCTGTCATATGTTAAGCAATTTGTTTAAACGTATATATATAGAATTCTATATACATGTACATATATATATACATCACACTCATACATAGTTGCACTCAAACATGCTACTTCACATTTAATGCCCTCACATTGCTTCTTCTTCTTCTGAACTGCACATATACGATGCACGCCTCGTTGCATTTAACGACCGCCCCGCTCTTCTTTTATAAACTCTATGAAAAATGCTTTATTGAATAGCTTAAGTGTGAATGGGTCTGAATTTATGAGTTATTTGCATAAAAATAGTGGACAAAGTTTCCGTCTTTAAACAATGAATTCCCTTTAACTTATAGATGAATTCGATCTAGAAAATGATGAAATTTCTATATCTGCACGAGGTTCAGGGTTTATACATAAACATAGAGATCTAGTACAACTGAAGTGATTCAGTTGAGAAAAATACAAAATCAATGAAAATAGTTATAGGTATCTAGCTATAAAATGAAGAGAATGTCATATAAAGAGAATATTTCTCACTCCCATTTATTCCACAGTCAAACCCAGGATATTTGCTAGTCGCTCACATACCGATTACAATTTCATTCTAATTTGTTTTTTATTGTAAAACATTTTGTTATATATTCGTTTATGGCCTGTGTTTTGCTTCTTTTTTTCGAGCCATTTGGTTTTCATTAGCATTTTGCATGATGATTTGCATTTTGGCTTAAACAAAACGTGGGGCGAGGCAAAAAATTATTAAAGACTTTAACGGGCAGAGCGAACGGGCAGATGAGTGTGTGTGTGTGTGAAAAGACATCAAAAACAATTTATTTGCCTATTATAAATTAATTAAATTCTCTTTTATATCCTTTGGTATTTTATATTTTATATTTGGGTTTTTTTTTCTTCTCAGGTATCTCGGCCCATGCTGGATAAATCCTTTCATCGCAAAGTTCAAAGTCGCAAAATCTTTACGCACAGGGAGTCTTTTGAGACTATAATCGCCAAGACTGAAGAGAAGCTGTCAAAGGTGCGTTAACCAATAAAGCAACAACAACAAGAAGGGCATGCAACATTATTAAGTGGCATGCCAAGTGCGTCTTATTAATGAGCTGCACTTAATGTTGCCAAGCAGTTGTTGGCTTATTAAGTGGCGCAGCGTGTGTCAACAATAATTGTGTATGCTGGCAAGCAGAAAGCAGCTTAAAGCCACAGCCACACATACACACATATACACTCACACATGTGTGCGCATTCAGCCATTTATATTACGTATACGCCATGCTGCCGCTTGTCCCTTGACAATTGCCTCTGTATTGTTTTCCTTTTTTCTGTATTTTTTTTTCGTTTCCTTTTTGGGCTATTTGTTTTGCAGTGTCGCCTGGACTACAAGCAATGCCATCTGGCACATAGGCAAAACCCCAGCCAGCACTCGCTGACCGAATATATCGATGCGCACAATGCGTACGTGCAGCAGTTGCATGCTACCAATGGCATGCTGGAGGCCTACCATTGCGACACATTGCCCCAATTGATGCAGGAGCTGGAGGAGATACACAACGACCTATGCAACATTGTTTCCGATTCGTTGCAACAGGGCGCCGATGTAATTGCCGCCAAGGTGAGTTCGCATTATCTGGATTTATGGCTACGTGCCGCAATTTGTTGCAACTGTTGCCAGCATCAGCAGTATCTGCAGCAGCGGCAGCAGCAGCAACAGCAGCAGGTGGTTGCTCGACACAATTTCCAGCACTGGAATTTGCTCGTGGCTTAATTTGCACTTGTCGTGGAAAACAATTTCATCACCATTATAATAATTGCTCATAATTGTGTCCAGGTGCGCAAATTGCGCCCGGCAATTGCCCATAATGTTCGCTGCGTGCGAACAGACATCAAAAACACATTTTCATTTATATAACAAAATAAATAATACCCTTAGCTATATATATGTATGTGTATGTGTCGATATGTATATTCATGTCTAATTGCTTTACATGTATTTGCAGGCCACGGACCAGTCGCGGCGCTACGGCTGCCTGGCCAGCCAGTGCAGCGCCGTCCAGCCACAGCAGGATCTGCTGAACTTTGTCCGCCTGCTGGCGCAGCCATCGCAGGCTCAGAAGGTGCCACGACGCGTCTTTGCCCCACCTCAAGCACAGCAGCCGGGCGAACCGGCCGACGAGGCAGCTGACTACAATGTAAGCAAATGCACCATGGGATATTATAGTTTATTTTAATAATATATAATATTCAAGTTTTGCAATATACACACGAGGATAGCCAGAATTATTATGAATATAGGATAGAAGACTTAGACGGATAAGTTAAATAGCAAAAATAATTTTGTATTTTTTTTTTTTTTTTTTTTTATCAGCATTCGCAAGCTGAATGAAATAGAAAGACTCAAATGACATAAAATACAGAATTGCTTGGAATTCATTTATTAAGAACTTTATGCCAAATTTATTTAATTTCTTTTAGCCACTCAAGCGAACATGAATGAAGAAATATAGATATATATTTTAAATATTTTTAATATTTTTTAGCCATTCAAGCGAACATGAATGAAGAAATATAGAAATATATTTTTATTATTATTTATATGTAATTTAATTTTAATATATTTTTATTATTATTTTTATATTGTAGTTTAAAGATTAATTTATAAAATTATTTCTTGAAGCTATATTTTACATTTTTATTCTTATTTTTATAATTATATTTTATATTTTTATTCGTATTTTTATAATTATATTTTATATTTTTATTCGTATTTTTATAATTGTATTTTATATTTGTATATAGAATTTATTTATTTGTTTTTTTTTTTATTAATTTTTTGTATATACAAAAATTTAATTTTGATAAATATATAATAACTAATTTTTTTGTTTTTTTTTTCTTTAATAAATATATGTATTTATTTTTTTTAGTTTATATATTTTTATGTTAGTTCATATACGCCTATATTTATTTGGGTAGTATTAGTTCAATACATTTTCATACAACCCTTGTACTCTTCAATGTTAAATGACAAATCTCTGACAGTTTATGAGCGCTTGCTGTAAGCTCAAGAGAACTTAAAGCTCATTAGCAGCTTAACAGTTGAACAGAGTAAGAATGCTCTCTTCAGTTACGCATGAATAGCACTATAGTCGATATCGTTCATAATGTAGAAGTTATGAGTTACGGAACCGCTGAAAATACAACAGAAAGAAGATAAATTGAAAGGATATTTAAAGTAATACAATAAACTTGTATTCTATTCATGATTGTCATCATTCCATTTTTGACTGAACCACGGACTGATCACCTAATAAATAATCTCTCAAGTCTCAAGAGACTCTTTTCAATGAAATGCAATGAGTAAACTCTAATCCTTAAGGACACTCTACTCTCTTCAACTCATACACAGGAGATGACGCCAATTTTGCGCAACGAGCTCGTCTTTGACCGGCACTCGACGCTGTCGCAGCGCTCGGCGCTGGAGTCGCTTAAGCGTGAGTCCATTGAATTGGAATTGCAAATACGTCAGCTGCAGGTGTGTAACAAGCTATCATATATATATATATATATATATGTACATGTGAAATACCCTTACTTACACATACTTATATATCTATGTATGTGTTTCTTGCAGGACTCCATCGATGCGCTGAATCGCACACAAATGCGCGGCATTGAGGGTCAGCTGTACAACAAGGTTAACGAGCTGCAGGAGGATTTATCCATGAAGAAATTCGATTTGCGCGCCAAGCAAATACACCTGGCTGCCATACGAGCACAGGTGAGTTTTAGACCTCTTTACCGTATGGAAAAGCTTGAGTTAGCTTAGACAACTACACGAGCTTTAAGCTTGCTGAGTTGCCATAAAGTATGCAGCTTTTTGTGGCAGCTTTTTCTCAGCTCCTGTGGCACCTGTTGGATGTGCACCCAAAGCGAGCTTTTACAACTAACGAAAAGTTCTATGAAATGGGCATCGCACTCTCTTGGGAGAGAAACTAAAGTTTCTAGTCTAAACTACATTGGCTTTCATTTGTGTTGTGAGACAGTGCCACATAAAAGTGTGTGTGCACGCTTCAAAGTACACATGCACCGAGCCCACGCACACGCACACACACACATACATACCTACTACCTGTATGTAGGTCAAACAGCTGTCTTTTAGGTTTTGCCATTCAGTTCTCCAGTGGCTCTCAGTGCGCATGTCTCACATATTCGTTTATAATGCTCCCAGAATGCTGTGGGAGCACAACTCCGGAAGGACGTAACGTGCTTCGTTCGTTTAGTATTGCGATAGAGTAGCTAGCGTCTGGTGGTCAGACAGTGTCCTGTGTGCAACAATAACAATTCGACGATGTCTTCGCTAACACGTGCCTGAACATTTCATGCAAATTAACAATTATGCGCTGAGTGTCTGTGCCTGTGCGTGTGCGTGTGCGTGTCCGTGCGTGTGTGCATATTTTTTTGTGTGCCACTGTGCGTATGAAACTAAATGATATAGAATTGTTTGTTTGTTTGTTTGTTGGCACTAAACTCGAAGCTCGCACAGCTGTTTCGGCTCGGCTAACGAAAGAGTGAGAGTAAGAGTGAGTGAGAGTGGAGAGCGCAGCGTTGCCAGATCGTCGTCGTTGTCATAGTCGTCGTTGTCGTAGTCGTCGTTATCGTAGTCGTCGCTGTCGTCTGCTGTTTATAAAAGCAACGTGCTAGCCTCGCACCAGCTCAGTCACGTGCCTGCATCTGAACGTTGCTGATAACGCGCGTCGAGCCAACAAAGTCGCCTTTGTTGTTGCCTGCCTTTTAGCTGTTGAGTGATCCGCAATTCGTACGACACCACCACCAGTAACAACAACAACAACCATAACAACAACAACAAATTAAAGAAAAACAAAAGCATCGCCTTTGATTGGCTGGCATAGCTCGTGTCCAGAAAACTATATATAGATATATATAGAGATATAAATACTGTCTATCCATGCGAAATGCTCTGGCATTCGTTCTAGTCGAAGGCGTTGTCCCCACATTAACAATAACAACAACAATCAACAATAACCAATTACCAACTACCAATTACCAATTTATCCTTAGACAATATAAATATATGTATATGTAATAAATACATTTGATAGAGGCGCAGTACAGGGCAGGCTTTTGTGTTCAGATACAAAATCGAATAAACCTAAACTCTATCTATATCAAACTTGATTTGAGCGTAAGTAAAGAGCAACCAAAATACATATGTCGTTGATCAACGGCAAACAACACCAATTAAGCAATTAACTAACGTTAGAGGCAGCGCATATTGTAAAATAAATCTATACATATTTCAATTAGCTTTCTATCCAAAACTAAATCTAAATCCAAATAGCACGCATACGCACCGTGCGCCGCAAACGTTACAATCTGAACAGTATGAAATTCCAAATTCAATTAATTACTAATTTGTAGCACTGTCGCAAGTTTTCTTCGATACATTTTGCCTGCTTTCCGTATTAATCGTAATTAGTGCATACAACTAACAAATATAGTCGGTTGACTGAAACCATAAACTTGGCTAAAAAGACAATAAGAATATATATATACACACACACACACGTACACACGCTTGTTTAAAATTCTTAGCAGATATCGCAATAGCAATAGCTAGAACTACATTTATCTCTTATCACACACACACACACAAATAGCATCTAGTGCCTAACTATAGATATACTATATATAGTAACAAATGTTACTTACTCTCGCTAAACTGTACTGTAAATAGCACAGCTAATTAAACTAAACTAAGCCAACTAGTAGTTAACACTATAATAATTTAATAATTTAATTAACAATAATATTCCCGCTCGAATGAACAACTCCGTTTGCAAACGGCATTTGAAGGACTCGCTAGCATAAATTGGAGCATTTGCCTTTCAATTAATAATAATTGTTGTTGTTACCTCGCCGTGTGTTCAGACCATCGCTAAGCAATAATAATTCACATAAACATACACACACTTACACCCACACACATACACACACACTAATCACTAATCACTAATCTAAAAGTAAAGTAAAGTAAAGTAAAGGAATAATACAAAGAAAAAACAGTGCACCATGCGCGTTATCGTACTCAAAAAGAATCGCACTAACAAACGCGGCACGCCCACGGCAACTGCCACGCGAGAGCCGCCAAAAAAATCGTACGCAAAAGTAAGAAATTCGTATTATCTCGTTGCAATTAACAATTGGATTTATTATTTATCAAAGTGCTTGAGTTGAACTGATATCGAAATGCTCTTTCCATATCTAATTATAATGATTAGTTAAGAGAGATTGCATTGAGCCACCATCCACTGTCTAATACTCGTTCGTAATTTGCAGATAGTTGACTTTGATAAAATTTTAATATTATTTATAGATCCTGTCTGTTGAGTAGGTCAAGGTTCAAGTTTAGTTATACTCGATTTACCACTTGAAGATAGAGGAAAATGATAATAAATAATAATTTTTATATCTACTTATATCGATATTTCATATTAATATTAAACGACTTATTTTTGTAATGCTCCTATTTCCTAACTTCAATAGAATTACTGGAAATAGTTAAAATTCTTAAATTAAAACTGAGTTTAATATAATTTGTTATGCAAATTAGAGTATAATATTTACCGATATATAACTCTCGGAAGAATCCTCCATACTAAAACATATCGGAATGAACTCGAGTATAAATAACAAACTTAAAATTATCTATAACCAACTCAATATACTTTTTTATTGAGTATTAAAAATTATTGCGTATTAAAAATAATTATAAGAAATAATTAAAATAATATGAAACAATTTAATCTTTCATGAAGACAAAAAAAAAATATATATACATATATATATATGGAAAGAGCATGTTAGCTTCGTTCTAGCGAAGATACAAGTTAACAAACGATCAAAAAATAATATATTTAAAAAGAAATTAAGACTATTTCACTATATTTTCATTAATTCATTTGATTATGCAATTTTTACTCTGTCTAAAATTTGCCAGTGCAATCAATTTTTGAGTAATAAAACAGGAAAGCAAAACAATGAAAAAATGAAGGGAAATGCAAATATAATTTCTATTACAATTTCCATTACAATTTCCGCGCAGTTGCATTGCAATAATAACGAGAAATAAAATTCAATGTGAACTAATATTTTGACACCATTATCACAATAGCATGTTTCAACTAATACTAATTCAATTTAATTACAAATCTACAACAATAACAAAACTGCATTTGTACATATTAGAACAAATCAAGTCTAATTGCATAGCTCAAAGATTGGTTGTAGTGGTCGGAATTATGGCATGATATAATTATAACAATAACAATATCTCTTTACTTTGTATACATATCTAATACGAGTATATCTAATCTAAGATTTAGCAATTAGTCGTAGTGATATGGAAACAATTGCTTGAGAAACTGCATCAATGAATCTTTTATTTCTATACCATTAAATCAAATCAAATGTCGAATGCCACATATGTTTACCTCGCAGACTTGAGACGAACCGAGATCCTAGACTTCGCTAATCGTAAAGAGTACTTCGAGATCCTCGTCAGTCTCTTCTCTGCGTCCCATGTGCATATAGTAGACTAAGCCAATCCCCAAAAAGTATCCTTGAAGAGCTGAAAAAATTAAAGTAGTATTGTAAAATAAATTCAATTTTTCGAAGATCAGAATTTTGAAGGGAATAGATTTCTTGATAGAAAGATCTGTTATATAACACTATAGACTAAAGAATTTATATATATCAAGACTGATAGCTCTTGCAAAGCAGCTGTCGAAAAATCAGCTCAAAAATAGCGACAAAATAGTCTATTTCATTGCATTTAGTACGGCATTTCACAACACTGGTCACAAATGTACAGTTAGCAGCTATTTTCAAATGTATTGTTTACTTCAGCCGTTGGTTTTTATTGCTTTTTAGAGCGCCTAGTCTGTCCGATATAGATAATATCTTTATTCACTCACCCGATATGAATGTATCCCATAGCATAGTATCGGATCTACACCCAAAGACCTGCGTGTAGAGCAGGAACGCCACAATGCACACTGCCATCACAGAAATCCAAATCAAGACACATATCTTGCGTTGCTATAGGAATATATCTATATGTATATATATATATCTATGGCAAAGGTAAAATCGTAGGCGTAATACTCACAAAGACAACGCCGATCAACAGCAGATGGGAACAGAAGAACGCAATGAGGCCAAACAATATATTGAGCTCGGCATTCTGTTCGATCGGTTTGCTATGCGTCCATCGGGGTGGCGATTTGTCATCCCTGCCATATAGTTCGCTGCAGCCCTGGTACATCTGCCATAGACCCAGAATATTTTCGAATACCACAATAAGCTTGCAGCCCAATTTCAGGCTGAAAAAGTAACAGCACGTCGTCACACGGAGCATGGCATAGTGAACGGCATTCAGTTCCTGACGCCATTGCCGGCCCTGCATTAAATTTGGAATAGACATTGAAATCGATATCGAATTGGCTTGACGAAATTCCTAAGCACAATATAATTTGTACTCTGTTCGAAATATCGTAGAAAAGGAGAAGAAAGCGGCCTACTTTGATTGTATTCAGCTGCTTTTGATGAAGTTTTTGTGCAATTTCCTCGACGAAAATTAAGTGCACAAGCGAAAATCCAATTTGATTTATTTGTTTGGCGCAGCGAAAATGAGAACAAAAATCTCTAAAACAATTCAATTTTTCAGCTTCAACTCTCACTCACTCTTCCTCGCTCTCTCTCTCTCCCTCTCGCTCTCTGTCGCTCTTTTGCTCATACAGTTTCTCTTTCCATTTGCCAGCTAAGTTCATGCCTCTGGCAGCTGCCTCGTGCCTTCTGCCTTGTACCACCCCGTCGTGGCACAATCAGTTGGCCATAAGCGAAATTCCTTTTAAAAGCATTTTTCGAATTGTCTTGACTCGACCACTTGAACTCTGTGTCCATTGCCTAGGCCGTCCAGTCACGGCCCTTCCTGTGGCCGCATGCCATTGTGGTTGAGCGTGGCGCGCGCTCTAGTCCTGATTACTTACTTGGGCGGTCCCTTTTATGTCTAATGCCCTTCAGTTTGGCCATGTCATCGTGGCACAATAAGTGACAGCATATTGGATTTAAATTAAGTTGCATAACATTTCATAATTTGTATATATCAAATTCGTTTGGACACACATTTCACTTAATTAAATTGTTCAAGCCAAAAGCCAAAATGAAATATTTTTACTCAAATGAAATTCTCAACTTAATTTGTATTTTATGCAATTATTTAATTTGCCAATTGCAGCAAAAATGATTTAAATTTTTAATAGTTGCTCGTTTTTGTTGCTCTTGCATATTTAATCACTTTACACACTTTTTGAATTCACATCTGCGGTGTTTCATAGTCGGCGTAACTAATTGAACAAAGATATAGTTTTGATAGCTATTGCTAGGACTTTTACCAGGATATCCATTGAGAATATTTTTGTGTGCTTATAAGTCTTGCCAAAACTAACTAAATTCTTGATTTTCTTTATCGTTAATCTAGCCATGCTTGGTAGAATGAATACAGAGCTTAACAACCACTTAGGCAGCTTTATTTACCTCTTAGATTTTTGCTAAACTTTCACCGACAAGCAGCTTAGACTAGCTGAGCAGCGATAAGAGCGTTAGGATTATGATTTTCAGTAGAAATTAGCGGCTATATTTGGAAGCTAGATAAAACATATTTAATATATAGATATATGTATATATGGCCGCCTTATAGTTACAGAATTTTAAACTGCTGAAAATGCAAACTACAAAGCTCTTTAAAAGGCCTTTCAAAATGTTGTTTATATCTTTCTTAGTCACTTGGCTAATTTCGACTTATATATACCTATTGAATACATCTAAAATTCCTCTCAAGACTCTCATCAGCTTCTTATTTACTCAGTTTGCTCCAATTTGATTCTCTTGTGAAATTCATTTCCTGCTGCACAACAGCCTTAGACCACGACCTGCCTCAACAGTTGCAGAGTACATATTTGCGGATTGAATAAATATCGAGTTTTAAGAATTGCCAAAGCATGCGTGACATTTTAATAATGCTGGCAAGTCAAGTGCAAAATATTTCACCATTTTGCAGATGGTTTATTCGAATTCCTTGTAAAATTTCAGCTTTGCGCTCAAAAGTATGCTACGAAAAATGTCGGCTGAAGACATTTTATTTGTGTACGGGTCAGCCACAGAGAACAACACATGCAGATGAAATGAATATTTTTTTTTTTCGGCTACTCTGTTGACAACTATTTGAAGTTGTGGGCGTGCGCACCGAAAAATGCCCCTTTGGCTGAAATAGATTGAAAGGGCGGCCGAGGTCAAGAGTCGTGCACCTAAAAGGGTTAATTTTAAATTTATTGCGTCGCCCCTTGTTACATATGCCTCCAAATCCATGCGATGGGACCGGTTAACATAAGGCGTAGGCGTTGTCCAAAATGCTACAACACCAATTTACACACACACACACACATACACAGGCAGCTAAATTTATGTAACGTGAGCTGAGTCCTTTGGGAGCGACCTGCATGACGGCTATGACATGGCGATATTTCTCTGTTGCTGCCAGGACACGTTATCTGGGCAACTGTTGCAGGCACAGCCCAGCGCCCAGCGCTCAGCTCCAAGCCGGTCGGTGGGCGTGGCTGTACTTTATTTTATTGCTTTAATAAATATAAAATGCGCTGCGCTCTATCTCGCACTCGCTCGCTATCACCCATCCTATCCGGCGCTCACTCGTTCGCACATTTTTCCACATTACCCGAGTTAACGGCATAGTTTGTTACCACAATTAGCAGCAGTAAGCGGGGCAGTGCTAGGCTGCATGTATGTGGGATTGTGGGCGTACTTTGTTTGGGGTTGACAGCACTCAATCTTGGGCATCGCACTTAATTGGGCTCGGCTAAATATGTTGCCACATAAGTAAAGATGATTTTCTTGTTGTTTTTTTTTTTTTTTTTTTTTTTTTGATGCTGCCGCTGCTGTTGCTGCTACATAAATTTTAATTAATCATAAAAATGCGCATCAAAATGGTGCGCAGGTTCAGACGCGTATTGTTTATGCCCTTTGTTCGCTGTTGTTGCTGCTGTTGTTGTTTATGCCTAGCGCACGCTGTCCTGAGATATATTCATATTCGTATTTAATAATAAATCACAAGATGCTGCCGCCTGGAGGTCGCTGGAACAAACAACGCCAGCCATGCCGTGGCTACATTCATTTTGCTTAGCTGCTGGGACAGCAGAATGTGTTGCAACGTTTGATTTTCATTAGCATTCACACACACCCACACACACATACACATACACATACACAGAGAGCAACATGGCGCCATAAAAGGATTGTTTGGCGGCTAAGAAAATTTAATTAAAGCCATCATGGCATTGTGCATGGCTCGTAGCCTGCCTTAACCTTGGCTTCACAGACTCTCTCCTCCTCTCTTTCTCTCTCTCTCTCTCTCTCTCTGTCAATTAATCAGCCACGCAGCAGCCACGCCATTTTTATCAAAAGGATGTTCACATCAACTAATTTGCTGAATTTTGCGGCGTGTAAATAATTATTATATGCCTGCATTTCCTGTCCACCTTCCTGCTGTCCTTCCTGTTGTTCATTCGCGCACAACTATCGCTAAAATGTGGAAACGTTTGATTCTACACTTGTTACAAAGGGAGCACTTTGAAATTATAATGAATCCTATTACGTGGCGTTGTGCTCGCATAAGCAATAGATCGAATATAAATTATTCCTAACATATTATATATTGATTTATGTTAACAATGCATTCAGTTGGAGCTGAGATAAAGGTCGCTTCAGCTTTGTTCTACAATAAAAAGGAAAGTTAATGTTGAATATTTCATTCGATTTATTCCATAATGCATTAAGTTGAAAATTCGTATGAATTTTATTTTGTAGAACTTTAAAATGAAATAACAATTTAATTCAATTTCATAAAATTTTTATTTCATTTTAAATTCCTATAAAATTCTAATTAAGGTAACCCTTTAATTTATTACATTATTCAGTTTTATTAATCGAGGAAAATGGAACAATGTTAAAAATCAAAATTATATAATGGAAGGATTATTAATTTGTTTAGTTATTTATTTTTATTTAATTTATTTCTTTTTTTTTTTTTGTGAATTGGCGAAATTTCAAGTCTAGAAATTTAATAATATTTTATAGATAGTTTAAAGTATAAACCATGAAAAAGAACGGGCAACAATTTGGTTGTGATAAAATGGTGCAAAATTGCCAAGTTTGAGCGTACGTAATCCCTAGTCGAATACTGCTCTCAACTTCAATTTAAGCTCAACTGCAAGATATTTTTGGCTATAGTTAAATATGTGTCAGAAGTTGTGAACTTTACCGAAACTTTATCATAGTAGAAAGATTTTTTTTTGGTGTGCAATGCAATTGACATAATCTATTTTATATTTTGATAACATTGCAGATAAGATTTTGCATGCACTCCAAAAACCAGTCGTTACACTGAGAAAAAATCCTTTTATGCCCATAAAATTGTTCAATTTAACATGAAAATATATACATACATATTTTATATGCTTGGTAAGGGCATTTAAGGTACATTGTTGCGCCTATTCATGCTTGTTTTTATATACCTATTTTGTGTTCCTCCTCGCTCTCCCCCTTCCTCTCTCGCTCTCACACTCTGTCGCCCACTCATTCATTGTGGCTGCTGTTCGAAGTTGATAAATATTTAAGCGTAAATCTGAACAGAATACTGTGCAGAGCTCTTAGTGCAAAGCAGCTGCTTTTATGGTTATTTTGCTGCTGCTGCTGCTGATGTTGTTGTTGTTGTTGTTGTTGTTGCACCCACAACAGCACTTGGCAGACAGATTTGAGCAGCTTGGATCAGCCGAGGAGAGCCGAGACAGACAAGATTTCAGTTCAAGAATTTCGTGAACGCACGACAAGTGCCGCATTTTTGGTTTCTTGTTATATATTTATATTTTTTGTTGTTCCTCCAGAGAGCGAGAGAGGGGGAGAGGGAGCTAGAGCGCTGAGGGAGTCGGGCCGCATTTGTTGGCAAAGTTTTCTGGCTGTTTTCATTCATTAAAATTTCATTTGAAAATCAGCCAAAATGCTGCCGTAATCCTTGCTAGCCATTTGTTTTGTTTAGCCAAAGCACATTGTCTTGGCACTTGAACAAACATTTCTGTCAGCAAAACTCTCCCCTGATAGACATTTGTCTATGTGTGTGTGTGTGTGTGTGTATGCTTGTGTGCGTGTGTTTGTGCTAAGCTTGTTGTATAATGTTTAGCTATAGCTCCTACTTCTGATATTTCTCATCTTCTGCTTGACTTTTTGAGATACCAATGCCATATTTCATGCATTTAATTGCAGCGCTTCTTGTAGCCAAGTGCGTTTTATTTGACGTTCATAGTTTATGCCACCTCTTTTTTTTCTGTAGATAAACAGCAAGAGAGCTCGTTCGAGATGGAAAAGCGGGATAAAAATAGTAAGGCGCACAACATTGTTTGACTTGGCAAAGATTCGCCTCGCCTTCCCTCCG